GCCTGGGCAGGCATCGTGGCCGCAGCTGTGGCCTCGGGCAAGGGAATCCCGGCGTACCTCATCGGCACTGTGAACCCGGCAGACGCACAGGCTGCTTACAGTGCCTTCCTCGAGTTCAAGGATGTGGTGAAGTCCACGATGCAGTGATCGGAGCTGATCGTGGAATGTGTCGAGTCGTGCAGGAGTGAGCGCGGCGGCGCCCATCCGGTTTAACGACTTTAAAGAGTCCGATTTGATTTTGTGAGTTGCATATTTTCTTAAGGGCCCACTGGGTCCACCGAGCTCTTGCCCGCGGCTGGCAGTCAGCCGCGATGCGTGCGCGACATCTTTAAAGTCTCCCGGTCAGCGCGTGACAGAGGCCGCCCAGCAGAAGCGGCACGTCACCCACAAAAAAGACAGTCGAGGCTTTTGAGGGGCTTGGGGGTGTTGAGTTTCGGGTGTCTGCGAAGGTTTCTCGATATCTAGGAGCCAGATGGAAGATGTGTTCCATTGTGTTCCCTTGATCCTGCAGAGACTATCGTGACGTTCGCCTGCCTATGTCAGTCGCATACCCAGGAGAGGCATTGACGTGGATGTCTGGACCTGAGAAGTTCGCATGGCTTTAGCCTTTCCGGTTAGGGTGCGGAGGGCTAAGAAGAGCAGAAGAGCCTCACAGTCACGAGCTTAAGTAGGAGGAGCCCTCGACTTTCGCTAATCGTGGTGTGGAGGGATGATGAGCCCCCATGTAAATTTCACTGAGCGTCCCATCAGCGGCTTTCTTGGACGATCTCTTCTGCAGGTCATCACCTTCAACTGCGCTCTTGGAGCCTTATCACGGAGCGCGAGGCGGGACAAAAGATGAACGTTTGCTCTCTACTGTGAGCAGAGCCCGCACCCTGAACCCTAAAGCCACCTAATCCGCAACAGAATTCTAAACCCCCGATGTCCAGGTGGCAAGAGGCTCAGTCTCTACTGTCAGGCTCTTAAAGCTGAGTGCTTTCCTGATTCTCAAGGACTTTTTGTTGGTGAATCGGGTGGGTGGGGGGTTCTAGGGATACTGGTGTCCGTATACGGATCCTACTACTTCAAGGCCGTAGCAAGCACAAAACGGCAGCACTACTTGTTTTTCCGTCTTGCTCTCCTGCCACGACGTGCACTAAACGGCTGGAAGTTGTGCATGAGGGGACGCGCCCCACCCACAAGATCGTTATGGTCACTTCAAGGATCTCCCTGTGGTGTGCAGACCTACTTGGAGGTTCATGGGTAGTTATAAGTAGGGTTATAAGTAGGGTAACTATAATTATAACCCATAATAACCCATATTAGGGGACTTATAACCCCACTTATAACTACCCATGAACCTCGAAGTACACCCCAAAAAACCCTAAACCCTTACCCCCAAACCCTGACCCCTTAACCCCCAAAGGCCCCAACTCCCAAGGAGCGAGATGGAGGGAAGCCACTGCCTCCCCGATGATGTTAGCTACAAGGCGCGCAATGTCGCGGGTGTTGTCAGAAACATTTACCCTAAACCCTAAACCCTAAACCCTAAACCCTAACCTCCAAACTTTGCAACCAAGCCCTAAGCTGAAACTTCAGAGTTCGGGGATCCTCTCGATTTCAGGTAAGGCCCTGGCATTTCACCTCAAGTAAGGCCTCCCATCATCGCTTGGAGATCTGTTTCAAAAAGGAAGGTCTGTCGGAGGGGTTTTTAGGGTTTAGGGTTTAGGGTTTAGGGTTTAGGGTTTAGGGTTTAGGGTTTAGGGTTTAGGGAGCACTGCCCCACCATGACTCGAAAACGCGGTGCATGTCTGTGACTACCGGCGACAAAAGGTAAGTAAGGGAATCCGAAGCTCCGAGACCTCACAGGCTGAACACAAGTTGTGCAGCTCGCTCCAAACTCCATATACGCCCTACCTGGACCCTAAAGAACCCGGCTTTTTAGGGTTCCTTATTGTACATTCTTTATACAAGTCCTTAAAAAGGTAGGCTATTTGGGGTTAAGGTAAGCCCTAAGCCCCTGAACCCTCGACCAACCCTGAACCCTGGACCAAAAAATCCAAAGCCCTAAAGCCCGAACGCCTAACCACCTCCTCTGCGTGCCAGCTGGTGGCTGATGCTCTTCGTTCTGGGCCCCAGCGACCGGGATTTCGTGGAGTTGAGGAACTGATAAAACCCTAAATCCATATGGGTAGTTCTTCAAATTAGTGTCCCTTGCAGGTACCTTTTTAGAAGGGGTGGAGTGCTATATTGGGGACCTAAAAAGGGACCCTGATCTAGAGAACTACCCCTTTTTTCAAATGATTGAACCCTAAACCCCGAGCTGAATCCGTTCGGCATCCGGTCAGCAAGCGATCGAAGAGTGCAATTTCGACTTGGGAGTAGGATGCTGGCACCGGAGCAATGCCAAATCAGTGCCGCGGGGTTCAGGGGCTTCTTTGAAGGTTTAGGGGGTTTTGGGAGTTAGCGCTTTAGGGTTTAGGGGTTCTCCTTGACAGCCTGTTAGCCACAAGCTCAACATTCTCGTCCCCTCAAGCACTCGGCAACGCCCAGCATGGGCGCATCTGCGAGCGCCGAACCTGCAGTTTTGAACTTGCAGTTTACGATACCATGATGAAGATGACGGTAATGATGATGCTGATGACGATGGTTTGTCATACGCAGCCACCACGGCAAGATGCACCCTCAGGGTTTGAGTCCGGACATATCTGCGCACTTCATGGAGGCCTCGGAAAAGCAACTGCAGTTTCAGAGGAAGACTCCACGAAGTGGAAAAGGTGTAGCGGTCGCAAGAACTAGTAGTAATGTCCCCTCACCGTCCTTATATGACAATACTAAACCGTAGTCTTGTTTACGAAAGCTTTATATATAGTAGAACCCCGTATAACCCTTCGAGAACCCAATACAACCTGTGTATGACCCGATGAGCACCCTATACAACACAACTGCAGTGCCTATTTTTGGGGTCTTGGCTTTCGGTGCCATTACTTGGAGGTTCATGGGTAGTTATAAGTGGGGTTATAAGTCCCCTAATATGGGTTATAAATATAGTTACCTTACTTATTAATGGCTGCCGCCAATGCCGCCGACCCCAGATTCTCTGATTGGCATGGCTCCTGCGCCAGGATGGCACGCAGGAATCGAGAAGTGTGCTGGAACTCTGATCGAGAAACTATATGGGTCTCTGTGAAGGGGATTCTAGGGCCAGGTTCCACCATGAGTGACTAGAGACCTTGTCCGGGCTGCGCATTGGTAAATACAAAGGCGGTGAGGGCGGGTGAGGGCGGTGGGGGCGGTGGGGGCGGTGGAGCAAGGCACTATCAATTCCGTGTTGCCCTTGCTTACCGCCATCGCCCTGCCCCCCGCACCACGCTACAATCTACAACGATCTTTTCTACAAACCTAACGATTCGTGCATATTATTATGCATAATATTAACTAATCCCCTTCGTTCATTCCTAAATTCTCTATGTGCTTCTTGGTTTTGTTATGTCG